CTACCGTGGTGAATAGAATTAATAGTAAGGAACGGATTTAAAACACACACTAAGCGGAGAAAGTCGATAATGATTCAATATCGACTGGGGATCAACGCTCTGCGACATGGCCTCATTCGAATGTTCGCGCTGTTTTGATCCCCAGATGATCGTCGCTTGTCCCGATGTGCACCTGCCCTATTCCCCTTTTTTGTTTTTGTTTACTGTATACATGCTGTTTACACTTTAACACAATTCACCATTCCCATTTAACTCTTGAAAAACAATAAAAAAAATTGAAATGGAAATCGAGGTACTGTGTACTTGTTGTCTCTATGATATGAATATGATTACTTGGCTGTCATGGGCAAAATGTGTATAATTTACATACGACTTTCTTTGAAAAAAAGACTTTTCTTTTTTACAGGAGGATAAATGCCTTATAAATAGTCTCCCTGATGAGCTACTGGCATTTTGCTTACAAAATGTTGATGCATACCATCTTCTTCATGAGGTGCCGCGCGTTTGCACCAGATGGAACAAGCTTGCAAGGGACCGGCTTGTTTGGAAGAAGACAGGCATTTACTTTGATGGGAGTCGGAAGAACGATAATTCCTATGTGGGTAGCTTCATCAAATTGCTGAATGAGGTTCCCTATCTTGGTGTCTTAGATATTTCTGAAGTAGCAGTTAGAGTCATAGATGTAGCCTCTCATGATGAATTTGAACCACGACTAACACATGTAACGGAGACACTAAATAGTGACTCAGGGGCAAACTTTTGTCGAAACATTGGACTATCTTCCCTCCACAGCAGTGCCTACTTTGAGGGTACGTCAAGACCATATTATCTTTTTTCAACTTTTTATTCCTGAAGTACCAGTAGTAAAATTTGAGTGTATGTTTTGCTTGTAATCAGGTCTATGTGAGTTGCTTTTGTCAAATCAAAACACATTAACTTGTGTCAAATTGCATGATGTCCAACTTGGTCATCCGTTGGAATGGGCTGACTATGGCATGTTTTACGAGCTAGAGAAAATGAAAAGTACTCTGTCCGGAGTGATGGAAGCAGTAAAAAATCTTCCAAAACTGAAGGAACTTACATTGGTGTTCTGCGAAGTATGGGAGTATGGTGCATTTAAACAGTGGTATGAGTAAGTAACACTCTTGTTAGATGGATGAGCATTTGTCGCAAGTTTGTCTCAACCATTTACTTTCCACCTCAGGGAAATGGATCGCATTGTTTACACTGCAGTGCTGCAAATATTTTCTCTGAAAAGGCTGCGGCTTGTCCATGCTAGACCTCTTATAGAGTCAGTGCCCAGTCCTCCTCCTCATAGTTTCTGGCAACTGAGTAGCCTGGAAATAGTTGGAGAGAGTTACTTTAGTGACAAATTAGCCGCCCAGTTTGTGTCTGCTGCCAGAGGCACCCTCAGAGTATTCAAATCTGGGCACGAACGTGTCCCCAGAACTATGAAGGTCCTAGGACAGTGTGAAAATCTGCAGGTCCTCGATCTGCCAGGTCTAGAAAATAATATATATCTGAAAGATTTGAAAAAGTTGCATTCACTCAAGATCTTCTCACTTAGGGTATGTCTTACTTCAAATCAAAATAATTTCATGGTGTTTTTCTAAAATTTCCAACATATTATTATTTCCATTCTTTTGTTTTGCAGGAAAATTATAATGTGAATGTCAATGCTCAGTGTATTTTAAAACTTAACTTTCTGAAAAATTTGAGGAGGTTGGCTTTAATAGTTGTTGGTGATCCACATGAAGCAGATATCATACTGACCATCATCAGTCAATGTCAGCAGCTCAGAACATTTATTTTGTCTGAATATCAATTTCCACTGAGGCCACGACCATTCATTCATTTGGCCCCAAAAGTTGTTAAGTCTATAGTGGATGGGGCTTTGCCTGAGCTCCACACATTTGATGTGCGTAGTGGTGCAGACAAGGAGGAGTGGAAGGAGCCACTCAGTGTCTTAAAGGAACATCGCCCTTCATTAAATATTCTTACTGAACCTGTTTATTTGCGGTTGAGAAGCTAAGTTGGCTTAGCTTATTGTATCAAGTCATTTATTTGTTTCTATTTTTCACCATCCTTTGAATTTGAACTGGTACATTATATTATTATTGTATCTAAGCCGAGCCTATGTTTGAGGAGGTAAACAATGATCAAGGAAAGTACACTTTCTCATAAATAAATAATTTCAGAAACCTTCTAGCAAAAGTTAAGCATGTGTAATAGAGTCATTATTCAATCTTGGGTGTATTTACCATAATAAAGCTATCGTTTTTCGCAGCTTAACTGTTCTCTTTTTCAAATCCATAACATTGCTGCAAACATTTAACTGTATTAAGAATGTCACTCCTCGACGAGGCATTATCTCTCAGGGCAGGGCACCCTATCTACATCACCCCCCATGTATCCTGGCTCATTATTTATTAGCATTTATGTAATGATTATTTGAGCTTGCGATGCATGCGCCATGCCCTATATTCCTGCCGCTAGTCACAGCGCCTGCAACGTGCGGGGTAGGCCAACCCGCCCGGCAGGCGCGTGGAGACGGCGGCCCACCCTCAGCTCCCCAGGGGTTCGGCCCGGGCAAGGGGAGTCAGCTTACTTTGAGAGGGACCGGACAAGGGACACAAACTTATTTATAGCCCCATCTCAATTTCTGGAGCAACCGAGCCATCCATCGCAACGACCTTTGAAGGGAATCTATTCCTAAAGGCCATTAGAAACATTCTAATAAGCATTAATAAAATGAGAAACGCGCGTGGAAGTTTTTATTTTTTTTAAACCATACCGCCTGGCTTTCCAGGTTAAATATTCAGTCAGGCTGCCGGGAAGGGGAGGGGGGGGGGTCTATTTTCGTGTGATTACGTGTAATGGAGGAATCACGGGGACGATGATGCCCTAATTGGATCCGCCTCCTTGGCCGGGCCGGGCCTGCCGCAAGGCCAGCCCACGTGTCGCGGGGCAGCGGTGGAACTCGGAGGTGGTCAGCGCCGTCTGCATGGCGCGCCTCGCAAGAAAGCAGGTAAAATTTTCTTTAAAATCACCGTAAACTGTTATATCTTGCAGTATATGGGTAAAACCTCGAAGGAACCACAAAAGTTATTCGTCCCCAGTAGCGCCAACCACATTAAATGCGCTTCAATGCGCATTGAAATGCACATAAAAGGTGACGCTTTTAAAGGGCATTACAGCATTTAATACGCATATAATGCGCATTTAGTGCACTCTACGCACATTTAATGCGTCACCAATGTGTCACCTTTTATGTGCATTTAATGGGCATTGAAGCGCATGTAATGCAGTAGCGCTTCTGGGGTCTAGGTGCAAGGTGATCCACGGGGAGTTTGAGGGAGAATGTATGCATATCTCTGCCTTAAACCACTCCTTTCAGCCTGTCAGTAGGGAACAAGCAGTGCTTCGCCCCCTCCACACGACCGGCCTAAATCCTCGGCTTAAATCATATTTTCTAGTTTTTGTTTGTGATTTTACGAATACCAGGGCAGTGCCCGGCTGTCAGAGTCGCCCATCAAGTTGTTGCTCCTCGAGTGGCTTTACTGGATGTGCCACCCCTCCACCTCTGGGCAGTCGAGGTTTACCCAGTTGGTCAACATCTGGTACTTGAACAAGGTACAGCCAGGTAGGTAGAAGGTGCGAGTAACCATAAACCCAAAATTATGACATGCATCAAACAGAAAAATTCGATCCAGTCCGTGTCTTGCTGTGTTATCTAGCGACACATTGTTACCTTTATTTCAGTAGAATGAAAATCTTATGGACATTTTCATTCATAGCTTACTGATGTCCTCTAAAATGCGTAAGCGGAGCATATTTAAGGACATCAGTAAGCGTTGAATAAAAATGATGATAAGATTTTAGTGTGAACAATCGGATTGACCAAAATATCGATAAATTTCAGGCGCACACGCACTGTTGCGCAGAAAGTTGCCAACCCATTAGGCGGGCGGCTACAGTACTACTTTCGTACTCAACACACTTTCTCGTAATTTGAGTCGTAGTGTTAACGAGAGCACGGTAGAAAACGAAAGACATAAAATAGTTGTAGGGTGAAGCAAATCCCAGGAGTAACCCTTCGACAATGCGATTGTCCTATGTGTACATGCATGGTAACACATATGAAACGCATTTTATGCGCATTATGCACATTAAATATGGGTCTAAAAGGCGGCTCGGTTAGGGATCGCCCAAAAAGTACGTGCGTTTTCCTCAGACCCATTCGGCAAATTACGGGAGCTCGGCGCCCGCGAGACTCGGGGTAGGCCACCCCGCAGTGCCCGCATGCACTGCAGGCGAGATGTTGCCTAACCACCAGGCGCTATGGGAGCCCACGTATAGGCTGAATGTACTTGTCAGGTTCAGCCATCACGACGGCTTGCAATGGTTTGTGTCAGTGGACGGTGGTCGGCAATCTGTTCGGGATCGCGACCTTCGTCATCTCGGCGGCGGGCGCGCCCTGCTCGCGCTACATGCAGTTCAACGTGCGCATGGCCATCAGCCTCTGGTCCTGCCTGGCCGGCGTGCTGATCCAGCGCAAGCGGCGCATGCTCTTCAGCGTCATCCAGCTGGTGGCCGACCTGGGCGCGCGCGCGCACCGGCTCACCGACCGCCAGGGCAAGGTACTCGGCGTCGGCGGCCAAACACTTTCGCGCCAGCCACGACAACATAGAAATACCGTCTTATATTACAATACAAATAAATGCGATGATGTAAGCACGACCGCAGGACGCCATGCGGAAGTCGGCGGTGGTCAGCCGGCTCCACGCCAAAGCCTTGTTCTGGTACGGCGGCGCCATCCTGGTGGCGGCCGCCTTCAACCTGCTCATGGAACGCAGTATCTGGGCCGAGGTCCTAGTCACAGCGATTGGAGGTACACAGCGGAGGCCTAGCTAAAAGGGCTCGCGGAGGGAATACTTTGACTCAACTGAAAAAAACAACAACAATAACAAAAACCACCGTGAGAAAACTACAAACATGAATGCGGTCGGGTACACTTTTCTGACACACAAGGCCCGAGGATGGCGGACAGCGTCTGGAACACGGCGGCCGTCTGTGTGGACTGGGCCACCACCATCGAGTACCAGTACAACACCCTGCTGGACGGCAGCGCCATCTTCGTGTCGCTGGCCTGCATCACCACGCTCACGCGCTCCCTGGCGGAGATACAGACGCAGATCAACCGCGGGGTCAAGGTGCGTAGACTACAGACGTCCCTGTTTGTGGCCACACATATGGGGCCCCAAACCCGTTGGCCAGAGTCAGCTTAATCCGTCCCTATAGTAGATCCCTTTTTTGGGCAATATATGATATCCGACGCCCCCAGCATAGCCCCACTTTTGTAGCCAAACAAGATGAAGCTACAATCGACACGACCGCTTTACAGGTCTATTGTCTTCCGTAAGGCAGATGGCCAAGTCCACCTCCTCAACGGGCTGCAGCCCTGGTCAGAAAACACGGAAAATGGTCAAGAAATAGCCTGACTCAAGATTTAAGCTGTTCGTGTCGATTGTAGCTTTATCTTGTTTAGCTACAAAATTCACTGGCTTTCTCAGGTTCGGATTCAGAGTGGGGTAAGAAGTTTGTGCCACAGTCCACCTAAAAGTAGGTAGAAAACATTTGCCGCCACCTTTTAATTTCGGAGGTTGGCTGACGATTCTGAGGGGTCTGCAATTTCGGCCAAGGTATGCACGCACTCAATTCTAGCTGCAGACCCCTCGGAATTCGAGCTTCAATCGAGGTTCATTCGCCGCACAGCAGAACTGATTAAAGCCGGTGCTCGTTTGCGTTTCCCAGGTTGGCGACTGCCTGCGCTGGGCTGCGCTGCAGAGCCGGGTGACGGCCGGCTGCCGTGAGCTGGAGGAGACGTTCGCCGACCTGCTGCCGCACATCCTCATCTCCGCCTACTTCACGCCGCTCCTCGCCATCGTCGACGTGAGTGTCACATGGCGTGGGGCTCCGCAAGGTTCAGGACGGTTATTGGAGTCTAAAGGAGACCCCATTATATTTTTACCCTGGGGTACAAATACCATTGGGACTTTTTGGACGGTCCTGATCCTTTCGGGGCCCCACGCCATAATATTTGGCCCCCTCCCCCCCAATGTCCACTCGGTATCTGGACGACCCCAGGGGTGGGGGCAGAGCAGGCCAGTATTCAGAGCACTGCCCGGTACCTCGCGCAGGTGGTGTTCAACGGGCGCAAGGCGGACCTGTTCTCGCTGGCGCTGTCGCCCGTCGTGCTGCTGGTGCTCTGGCCCATGTGCGACATCGGCGACGAGCTGGCGAAGGCCCGCGAGCGCCTGTGCCCGGCGGCCTACCTCGGCCCCTGGCTGGAGGAGGGGTGCGAGCAGACGCGCGTGCGCCTGTGCCTCATGCTCTTTGCGTACGGCCGGCACGGCCTGCTGCGCACGCGCGGCCCCGGCGGCGGCGTCCTCAACCGCGGGTAAAAAGAGGGATCCGCATAGCGAGCCCCCAGCGCCGGCGCCGGCGCCGCCCGCGGCGCTCAAGTTTGAATTGGATATTAACGAACCTGCTTTTACAGGACCTTCACCACCGCAATATCCAGCTGGATCAAGTTCCTCAACGCGCTCATCAACCTGCAGAGCGCGTCGCGACACCAAGTGCGAGGGAAATGAAACGTACAGTTAAAGAAAAGTGCCCAAGACTTATATTAACTTTCGGAGCTCTAGTTCTACCAAAAGCGCGTTATTTTTGCAACTAATAAAATGAAAATGTGGAGAATTCTTTGGACAGTCACCAAAAGACTGTCTTTACCAAATGCACCCCCCCTCCTAGCTTTCTATACCACAGATCGGGCGCTCGCTGCGTATGAATGTTTTTAAGACCAATACAATTTTTATTTAGAAAGTCAAGCTCCCTACGACGCAACAAAAGACGCAAATGCCGTTACGCGTCACTACTATCACGACCAGGTGACGCACGCCACCAAGGTGCCCCGCACAAACCTTTAGCACGTGCGCTGGGCGCCGCTGCCACCTCACGTAATATTTAGTACGAGGCAAGTCGGCCGCAACTATCGGACCAACAACTTTACTCCAAACTCAAAGAGAGCGTGCGAGCTCGCGGCCACTCGCCGGCGATGACCTGTGGCCGCCCCCACGGGGAGGCGGCCCTAACGACGGTCTAGCAACGTGAGCCGAGATTTGTTTTTTGTTTCTCGTGCATTTCCAAAGTTTCATAAAGTTGAGCGGAGCAGTGGGCGACATGGGTGACAAGAAGGAAGACCTCACGGTATGTGCAGTAGCCTCGAGGCATAAGCCACATCTCAGGGATCGTCCAGAAAGTACGTCCGCTTTTCTCAGATTCGTTCGGCAAACTCCAGAAGCACGGCGCCTGCGAACATCTGGGTAGGCTATCCAGCAGTGCACGCGTGCACTGCATGCACGATTTTGCCTACCGATCAGGCGCTAATGAGAGCTTCTATTAAATGAACTGGGCAGTTTCGTAACGGGAAGATGCGAAAGCACTATCTGGACGATCCCTTAGAGCCCCCCCCCCCCGACTGGCGAATGCTTGAGTCCGCGGGCACTGGAGGACAAGTTTGTAGACTGATTCGTGTGCCTCCCCTCCTCCACGGCGGCTCGGTGCGACGCAGGTGAGCGCCGTCCTCCGCCGCTGGGAGGCGAGCCTGAGCGGCGAGGGCGTGGGTCTTCGCGGGCGGCTGTGGGACACGATGAGGGGCACCACGGTAGGTACCGGGACGGAGGGCGGAGGGCGGGGGCGGAGGCAGGCCGCAGGCCGCCAGGCTCGTGATGACCGACCCCGTGCTCTGTGCGCAGCCCGCCGTCTGCCTGACCCTCGGGCTGATGTGCATGGTGCTGACGGGCGTCGGCGTGATGGGCCGCACGCTCGGGTCGCAGGGCCTCGTGTCGTCGCTCGTCGACATGGTGTACGCCGTGTCGCTGCTGGGCTGCGCCATGTCGCAGCTCTTCTTCGCGCAGGTCAGTGCCGCGCCGCCGCGGAGCGCCGTGCGGGTTAGGCACTCCGCCAACGCTCGGCCGCCACCGGGCGCTGCTGCTCAGCCCAGCCCTCGCGGTGCACCCACACGGCTAGCTTGCGCCGTACGCGGCCGTGCGCGGCGAGGTAGTTCTCCATTTTAATGACCCTCGTTGCGTGGGACTGCTTTCGTTTGGGTCTATGAAGAACCGGAAGGACGTCCAGGCCATGCTCGTCCGCTTACACGAAGTGGCCACGGAGCTGGAGCACGATCTCGAGGGTCCCGAGCACCGACAGGAGAGGGTGAGGCTCGCACTCATAGTACGGTAGTACACGGGAAAAAATGGATAGCTGTACAGCTAAACCAGTGTAGCTAAATTGGGGGTAAACTAATCATTTAGCTATGTAGCTAAAAAGTTAGCTATGTTTAGTCACGTATTTAAGCTAAATTTTAAGCTACATTGCTAAATTTTAAGCTACATTGCTAAATTTTAAGCTACATTGCTAAATTTTAAGCAACATTGCTAAATTTTAAGGTACGTGGCTAAATAATCAGTTCTCGCCTATTTGGATATTGTTTAGCTATCTGGTTACTGTTAATCCTGCCCACCAGGCGGAGTTGTCCCTCAGCGCCCGCAGCGCGCACAAGTGGTTCGTGGGCATGCGCGTGTACGCCACGCTGGCGGCTGTGTCCGTGATGCTGCCGCACTTCACCACGCTCAAGCCCGTGCCCGCCGTCTGGCCCTCCCACCCCGCGCTGGATCCCCCCCTCGCCATCATCTTCGCCCTCAGCGGAAACTCCTGCTGCATCGCCTATTCCGAGTTCCTCAGCCTGCAGCTGGTCGCCACCATCTCGAGCGCCGGGATGTACCGCGCGCTCGGAGCGCGCCTACAGAGGGCCGTCGGCAAGGTGGTGGGCCAATCTTACATTACGGAAAATAACAAAAAATAGATTAGCTGTTTAGCTATTGTTTAGCTAAATCTTTAGCTATACAGCTAAAATTTTTGAGGATAAGTTAGTTATCTAGCTAAAAGATTGTGTCGCTAAATCATTGGTTATTCCTCATTTAACGTTTGCTTTAGCTAACACAGCCAACCTTTTTGCCTGTGCGTACTTTCGTGATGACTATAAGCAGTGCAGTAAGTTTGACCCCCCCCCCCCGGTCTCTCCCGGTCTCGGTCAGGACGAAGAGCTGGAGTCCGTCGCGCGGCTGCACGGTGAGCTCAACAGCGTCGCCACGGTGCAGGACGCGCTGTTCTCGTCCTACCTGCCCTTCTACCTGCTCCCACCGCTCGGCGGCACGGCCCTGGCCACCTGCGGCTTCCTCTACGGCGCCTTCTCCTCCAACTTCATGAGCCTCGTGCCGCAGATCTTCATCATCTTCATGCCCCTGTGCCTGTGCGGTAAGTGCAATGGTTGAAAGGCGCCGAAATACGACTGATCGTTTTCATTTTCGGGTCATACCTTGAAGGCGGCTGGCTTACAGGGGACGATCTGCAGCAGACCAGCGGAGAGACGCTCTCGCTGTGCGGCTACAGCGGCAACTGGCTGGACTGGCCGCCCAGGGCGCGCAGGCTGCTGCACTGCGTGATGGCGCGGGGCACGCGGCCGCAGGTTGTTGAGCGTGGCGTAGGGTAGTGTAGCGTGGCGTAGTGAGGCGTGGCGTAGGGTAGTGTAGCGTGGCGTAGTGTGGCGTGGCTTGCCGATCGAGATACGGTCGATATCATAAAATCACATGATTCAAGTGTAAATAGTGCACTAACCTCATGAGGTTTGTTTCAGCTTGTATACGTGAAGGCGTTCGGTCACTTGGATCGTAAGGCGTGCCTGTCCGTGCTCAAGACCTGGTTCAGCTTCCTGCAAACGCTCACCAACCTGTCCGGGATCTCACCCGACGGCCACTAGGACGGCCGGGCGTGGGTGTGTGCGTGCGTAGATACCCCGTGTGGCAGCTCCGAGAGCGCCTCTACCCCGGCACAGCAGCTCCCACGCAGAAGTGTAGTGACAGATTTTAATATTTATAGTTAAGTGCTGAAAGAACAATGGAATAAAAAGTAGCGTTTATCAGGGGCAACTTTCGTTAATCACGTATAAAACTGTTGTCGGCTCGGTTTGACATAGTTAGAAAAGCAAGGACATTACTTTAAATCACAACTTTATTTTTGGCATGATTTGAAAACACAGGACTCAGTCTTTTCAGTATAGTTTTAAGGTCTCTAAAAATATAACTTTATGATAGATTATGAACAGGAACTGCATCGAGGTGAAGATATATGAGCGACTTCATAAACGAGTTATATCTACAAGGGCGCGGGCAGTTTAAATCCGCGCTTCTCGGCCTCGGCCTGGTACTCCTTCCTGTACACCCCGGTGGGGTCGTACTTCTTCTCCAGCTTGAGGAACTGTTCCGGGTACTTCTCGATGAGGAAGCTGATGACTCGCTCAGTTCCAGCCTGCTGCTTGGGAGTGCAGGCGGCGCACTTGTTCTGAAGTGCATCAGGGACGGTTTCTGAGGGAAGGAAACACAACTTATTTTAAAACAATTTCGTCGAAGGCAACAAATGGTCAGTTTTGACGATATAGAGAACATGTTCCAACCCAATCAGAAACTATAAATTCTTCCAGTCAAACAGCCACGTAAAAACCCGCCCGAGAACACTTCTTCATTCCCTCCCAACCCACAACTCACTCTTGAGCTCAGTGCCGTCCGGGGTGCAGGGGCCCACGTCCATGAGGCAGTTGAAGTAGTTTTTGAGCAGGCGCTCCGAGCGCAGGATCTCCTCCAGGTCGATGTTATCGTACTTGGTGGTGTAGCTCTTGGTCTCGTCCTGAGCGGCCGCCGCGGCCACGAGCGCCACCACGGCGAAGCACACAACTTTGCACACGGCCATCTCGGAGATGAGGAGGGGACTGGAGTGGATGGGAGCTGGACAACGTCTGATGTTCCGAGAGGTGCGAGCGCAGCATATATAGCCGAGGGTGGCACGGTGGCGCGGCGAGGCTCCAGGCGGTCTTACCTTCCCAGCAGCCGCGGCTTGCGGAGGTCAGTCTGACATGCAACCGAAAGCAATCGGCGAGCATCGGCCTCATGAGCACGGAGTCAAAAAATGATCACGTTAAAAATTACGTCAGAAATGAGCCAAACAAGTCCTCGATTAAAGTGTCTAGTCTAATCGTTGAAGACCCATGCCACAACAGACTGCAAGGTCAAAAATTATTACCATGCAATTTTTAATTTAAAAATTTTAATAATAGAATTTAGGCGTTTTAACGATTGAGTTTGTTATCTATTTTTGCACTTCCTCGTCGCCATACGTTTCAAGTGCAGATGTCTGGCGTGCATCCATGATTCGTTTATAGAGGGGCCATGTCGAGCGTTTCGCCCTTCTTAGGTGGATTTGCACTGCCCGTGTCTTGTTAAGGGAGAGGGGTCCACGACAGTCAGCCACTTCTTGGTGGACGGCTCTCCGTGACGACCCGGCCCAGCTGCAGAGCACAGCAGCAGCGCCAAGGAAGGCCAGACGCGCGAAACCCCTTTTTACCAGATCCGCTCCATATCGACGGCACCGATAGAGGAGCAACAACTGGGGCTTCCCTCGCGTGACTCCGAGGAAGGCTATGCTGCCCGCGCCACGGCGCTCTCATCACACGTTTGGGGCGTCAAAAAATCATCGCGAAATACCTTCGAGATATCGGCACACGCGACCAAATGCGGGATATCAGTGAGGAAAACACTAGGCAGCGCCTTGGTGGTCCAAGCGCATCCGCGCGTCGGCGGGAGAGAAGGGGGGGGGGGGGGGCAGCCATCCGTTGCCTTATTCTCACGGCGGGATGAGGGGAGCAGAAGCGCCGCGGACTTGAACCTGACCTCCGGGCAGGCATCAGGGCACCACGCGCCTTCTCATGACGAGGGCACTCCGTCGCGGGCACCGCCGCCAACTGCGAAAAGAATTAAAGCTCCTCGGCAAACGCAGCAAGAAGTCTAATATGGATGCACCTTGAGGAGGTCCCTCTACGCAGAGATATAGAAGCGCCTTGCGCTCCAGCGCTCCCCCTCTGCATTTCTGTTTATAAAAGAATCAGAAAAGCATCGTATGTGGAAAATTTGAGACGCTCTGCTGGCTTTTGTCTTTTGTAACATTATATTGATGAAGAAGCGACCACCACGAGGGTGTGTCCGTCCACTGTTAAAAATACAACAGTAAATCACTACAGAATGGTCTGGTAGTTTTTTTAACAGGGATTTTGCAGGCTGGGCTTTGCTGGGCTGTACCTTATACTGGAGGAAAGTTCTTTTCATGCACGGTCAAGTCTTTGTTTCCCAAATACCAGTCGAACACTTTGACCGTAGCATGGTTGTACAGGACGATCTTTATGTATTCTGTTTCTGGGTACAGAATTTTTTAACAGTGTTATTCGCCGTAGTGAACCTGCTAAGAAGGCTTGCCTCAGCGAGCGCCCATAGCGCCTGGCAGGTAGGCAACACCTTGCCTGCAGTGCGTGCGTGTACTGCGGGCTGGCCTACCCCGAGCCTCGCAGGCGCCGTGTCATTTACCGAATGAGAGATGAAAACAGACGTGCTTTGTGGGCGATCCCTAACGTGGCCTTATTCCCACGACGTTACAAAGTCGCGTGTCGAGAGTCTCTCAATGCGGCCAATCACTCAAAGTAAAAGAATAAGGAGGAGGGAGAACCGCCTCACTTGTTCGGCTTCTATCGGCAAAAGGTTGGTGAGGCGGTGAGGCGTCAACGAACCCTCCAAAACTTCCATCAGCGCGCCGCACGCACCGCCTGCTGGCATTGGCCTACTGAGAGCGGGGCGGGCCGCCGGGAGAGCCGCCGGGAGGGCAGGCAGCCCAACGCGCGCGCTCCCAGACCGGTTCACACTCCTTATCGAGGCGCAAGGCATAGGGGGACACAGTCGGTCTCTCCCTCCCTCCCCCTTTCTCTTTCTCCCTCTCCCTCTCTGTCTGTCTGTCTGTCTGTCTGATGCGCGGACACAGCCTTCCAAGCGGTCAAACCTTCGCCGCCCGCCCAGCGCGCCGAACAGTCCGTGAGTGACCCCAGGCGCTGCGAACCCAGTGCCCCAGAGACGCACGGTCGCCGCCGAAGCCGGCACCGCCACTGTGAGCCCGTGAGGTCGTTCACTCGGACGGCGCCAAGAGGTAGAGGTATGTCAGAGAGCCGAACGATCACAGCCACTCTCCGCCCACGCCTTAACTTAATTACCGAGTAGTTTATTTTCTCTTATTCGCTACTGATACCTTGGTGCAACAGATAGGAAGAGTGCCCGCCTATCTGGGCGAAAGCGGGATGAGAGTAAAACCGCTGACCGAAAGGAGGTCGCACAAAATACAATATATGGGTCAGCTGGAATAGTACAGTGCCTGCAGGACTCAAATAATAGGTAAACAAAAATGGGGAACAATAGTCGATATTTAAAGGCGGACTTCCCATCGAGTCGATGTCGTTTCGTTGCCGAGACTGTCGGTATCGAAACGTTGTCGATTTTATGCCCACTTTCGTGCGGCTAAAGGCTTAAGACGTGAAAACCGATGTCAAAACGATATCGATGAAAACATTTCTCACCGGGTTGGCATAAAGCACATTTTTATTTGATGACTGTCAGTCCAATTTGTTGATACAGCAGACAATATTTTTAAAATCACACTAGGAATTCACTTTGTTCTGGAGAATGGCTCCCACCTTTTACAGTGTTTGAGAGCGGCAGCAGACAGTGTTATTGACACTGCACATGGCCGCAGAGCGGGCGTCGGGTCTGGACCGAGCCGTATCACTCCAACACAATGTATATTCGGATTGGCATTTGTACCACAATGCATATCAGCTGCAGCCTTGAATGCCGGGCCCAACACGGATCAAGTTTTCCCGATACTCTGACAGAAGTCCCCTTCCCTTGTCGCACGAAGAATGGGCAGACGAGCTAATGTGCCATAATCCCCAGCGGGAGAAAACAATCAGTCGTTCACATCGGACGAAAGACATTTCTCTACGATGATAAAAATGCTTGGTAGCTGACGAACCCCGCGCACTTTCGTAGTTGTGCTGTACTTGCATGCAGGTGTGAGGGCGGGTTTGCCGTTCGTTGCTGGCTGCTGATACCACGGCGCCTGACGTCCCCGATCGGGTAGCTAGCCCTCTTGCGCACGCCTGTACGCGGCACAGTTTAAATACAAAAGTGCGCGGCGTTAATCAGCCACCTGGCACGGGTAATGATTCACCTGGCAACCAAGATTACTTCGGATTTCCAGTTCATTCTACAGTTTTGCGACGGCGAGCAAAAGCATGTGGGTAGCACAAACACAGCACCAGGCGTCATTTGTGACGCTTTTCTCGTTTCGTTCTGCGTCCCTTTTGAAACGAATCCTTAGAGGTGCCTCAGTAAGTAGCGTTTTTACCAATATTTCAGGCGGTGGGGGTAGGACAAGTGGGGTTCCCCGAGAATTAGTGTTGTGCACTTGCAGACACAGTTTTAAGCAGCCAGAATAAGGTATAGATAACTTCATGTATGACTATGAGCAATTCGTACAATTTCTACATAGTTATGCAGTGCAGACTTATTGTGACTCCATAAAATTATGCATCTTTATGCACTGCAAAATGATTGAGGGTTTAGTGTGTACCTCATCCGTTTCTGATTAGAGCCAGTACAACAAGGCACCTGGCACCTGCACCCCCTGCGGCATGTGGCGTGTTTGGCCCACCTGCAGGCTCCTATCAGCTGGTCAAGTGCCATCAGGTGGCGGCGCGAGCACCCGCGCAACGGGATAGGCGTTCTGCACCCTCCCGGGGGGCATTCAGGCGGCGTTCGGTCGGCGTTCAGTGCGACAGCGACAGCCATGGCGACGACACCGTACTTCGGGCGCGGCTGCGTGCCCATTGTCCTGCTGATGATCGCCGTCGGGGTGGTCGCGGGCGCCGGCATCGGTGAGAACAACAAAGTAGAAACTATGCACGAGTTTTGTGAACAGGAGTGTCGCACGCGCGGCGTTCGGATAACACCCGAGGCCCCCGCAGAGGCACTTCACTTAAAAAATTCAGCGTACAACCTAAAACAAAATCAGAAGAAAATCAGAAAAATCAATGACATACCAAGGAAAATAATAATTATATAAGAAAAAAACCACAGATTTAATTTTTTTAGAAAAATAAGAAAAAAATCAAGAAACAGAAACATTGGTGTACACTTGAATTTAAAGTGAGGTACTCCTCGATGACAGCCCGTCAGCATGGCATGTTTCGGGCTCGCCTGATAATCTTGTAGAAGAGACCCAGGTGCACTCTTGCTGGTTTTACGGTGTATTTCTTGCCGCTTTTCCCTCGACTTTTCCACCGCCGTTGCACAATCATTTTTGCGCCTGCACTCTGTCACTTTTCCTCCTTGGCACGCACCGCAATGAGAGAGCTGCATGATGGGCTAGTTGTTGACGCGCATGCACCCCTTGGGCCTGAATGCTTCTCCAGGGTATTGGATATTCGCGTTGTACAAGCCCGCCGCGGCAGCCGAGGGTGACCTGGCGAGCACGGCAACGGTCACTACAGCTACCGCGCCCACGCCGACAAGATGGACGAGGATCACTAGTCCTGTAACGCCGACTCCGACTTCGACCCATCGGCCAGGTAACGCCTCGGCCGACACAGGACGCGGAGCACGCGGGGAGGGATATGCTGTACGCCGCCGTGCCATCCGAGAACCAAAACGGTAGTCGCAGAGACGGTTTCGATGTTGCTTTACCCATCCCCAACCCTGTCCGACAGCCACTGCCGCCGTGCCGTGCGTCAAGCGCAGCTTCGGTTTCGACTCGTTCGTGTGCGTGTGCAACTCCACGTACTGCGACACGCTACCGCAGGTGCAGCCCGCCGCCCTGGGCAGGGCGCTGGTCTACACCACCACCAAGGCGGAGCTGCGCTTCGAGAGAGAGGAGCTCGCCTTCACCAGGCCCGTCGACGGCGACGACAGTGAGTATCGCTTTTTGGAGGGGACTGTACTGTACTTACATGCAGGCCAGAGTCGCCAGACTGTGCAGATAGGATCGTGGCAACTCCAAGTTTTCCGAAAAACAAACACCCAGAAAAAAACAAACTTGTCGCAACCATCCTTTGGTAGACCAGGGATAACCATCAATGGTTGTAGCAACACGTACATCGTGGTTTCAACAACGAAAACAGAAAACCAAACCATTTTGATTGTTGGTGTCGAGGGGGTATTTACTTCCGTAATACCCTGTACACTCCACCTGGGTATTACTTGTAATGTAATACCGAAAAATAACAAAAATGCTATAAATTGGCAAAATTTTGCGTGTAATACCGGCGTAATACCCGGTAATACCAGATAATTCTGTGTAATACCGAGTACTCTGTACAAGTTTTATGGTGGTGAATACCCCCTCGGTTGGTGTAACCACGTGAGTGTTGGTACAACGATATTTTGTATGGTGATCCCTGGTCTACTGTAGAATGGTTGCTAAAAATTTATTTGGCAGTATGTAAATGAAAGCAAGCTAAAATAATGCTCATGCTCATGACGTTTAGGCATGGTCACTCCAAGTCTACATGTGATCTGACATGCATTTAACACGATTAAAATTTAATAAAGAATAAATGCTGGTAATTTTTCCGCCGCAGCCCAGACGCTGACAGTGAATCGCAGCCAGACCTATCAGTCAGTCTACGGTTTCGGCGGCGCCTTCACGGACGCGTTCGGCATCAACCTGGTGGCTCTACCCGCAAAGGCACAGGAGCTGCTCCTCAGGTAAACTGCTACTTGCAACTGCAACGCAACAGATGCACCAGGTGGCTGATTAACCCCGCTCACTTCTGTAGCTCTGTTGTACCACATGCAAGAGTGCAAAAGGGTTGACTCGCTCCGCACTCGAGCGTGCGGTAACTACAAAAGTGCGAGGGGCTTAATCAGCCACCGCACGAACGCCTGCATGCGGTTCAGTGTAACCAAGATAAAAGTCCGGCCCACGTTAGAACACCCACCCTGTACCTCCATACTGAATGCGCCACGTAAACCGGCCAACCGAATAATCCATGTTCCCCTAGACCC